GTGAGTTCTAGTCCCACCTTAGGCATGAAAGCCAACTGGGTGACTTTGGGCCAATCACCAGGAGGCTGTGAGTTCTAGTTCTGCCTTAGGCATGAAAGCCAACTGGGTGACTTTGGGCCAATCACCAGGAGATGATGAGTTCTAGTCCCGCCTTAGGCATGAAAGCCAACTGGGTGACTTTGGGCCAATCACCAGGAGATGGTGAGTTCTAGTCCCGTCTTAGGCATGAAAGCCAACTGGGTGACTTTAGGCTAATCACCAGGAGGCTGTGAGTTCTAATTCTGCCTTAGGCATGACAGCAAGCCGGCTGGGTGACTTTGGGCCAGTTCCACCCCTTTCTCTCTCTGCCCAACCTACCTCACAGGGTTGTTGTTGTGGGGTAAATAGGACGAGGAGGGTATGTCCGATATGTACACCATCTTGAGTTATGTAACAAAATAACAGCAGGGTACAAATAAATCAAATAAGCTCAAAGCATCTGATGCAAGCACTTCACCGAAACCAAGATGGCCTGGAAACTAAACTGGCTTAGATCCGGCCAATACTTGAACCCGAGGCTGTGTGGGAAGTGTGTGGATTTTTCCTTCACAAACGGCAAGATTTTTCCTTCGCAAACTGATGAGCACGAACCACCAGTCCAGTTTCCCTATTTCTCACGGCGGATGGGGCTTCTGAGAGATGGGAACTGGAAAGCCTGCGTGCTACTTACCCGTGCGCTTGAAAGACTGGAAACCTTTTGTCAGGAACGCTGTCCAACATCTCTTGCATGCCACAGACACAATACTCCATCACCATATACGTGAGAAGCAGTTAAGGAAATTCCTGGGATGAGACTTAATAGAGAAACTTGCCCTCCACCCGTTGACAGTGTTTCAGCATCTTATTCCACTCAAGTCTGCGCTAACCGATCCCAGCTCTCGTCCCAACACCTCCCTGCGGATCCATTTGTAACTGAAGTTGTGGTGATTGACTCAAGAGACTTTCTGAACGCAAAGGAAGCACTGAACTTTGTAAATCAATTATGGATGCTCTCCAAATAGTCCAGGCCAAAGGAAGGAAACTAATCTTGAAAATATGTAAAGACTGCCAAGAAAAGAAAAAAAAAACTTGTCAAAGGAGGAAGTTATAATCCTAACATATTGAAGTGGGCAGGTTAGAGAAACCTAAAGACTTAACGTTACACAAGAGGTCCTTGAATTGCAACCTTTCAGTGACCGTTCAAAGTTACAACGGCACCGAAAAAAGTGACTTATGGCCGTTGTTTCGCACTTACGGCCATTGCAGCATCCTCCACGGTCACGTAATCCAAATTTACAGGCTTGGCAACGGACTCATATGTATGACGGTCGCAGTGTCCTGAGGTCACGTGATTCCCCTTTTGCAACCTTCTGACAGGCAAAGTCAATGGGGGGAAGCCAGACTCACTTAATAGCCGTGTTACTAACTTAACAACTGCAGTGATTCACTTAACAACTGTGGCAAGAAAGGTAGTAAAACGGGGTAAAAACTCACTTAACAGCCGTCTCGTTTAGCAACAGAAAATTTTGAGCTTAACTGTAGCCGTAAATTGAGGACTACTTTATAATTTGCTCTGGGCTTTGAGAGGTGGTAAAGGAATAGAATTCTTATTTCTTTATCCATCAGAGGCAAAGCATTTTAAGGAATCTGTTGGGGGGGGGAAGAAGCCATGCTATCAGCAAATTAGAGGTTATAGTACCCTCTCCTCAGATAGCGAATGTGTTCCATCCCAACAATTTGGTCATTAAGTGAAATGGTTGCTAAGTGAACACATAACAGAAATAGAAATGTTGCGAAGATCACTGCTTGCTACTATCTCTTCTTTCATACAGTGCCCTTGTTTTCCTTTTATTTGACCCCTCACAGTGCAGAAAGATTGCTTAAATAAGCTATATTTTTCTGAGTTGCTTTTCTCCACAGCACGGGGCTTCCCTAAAACGGGCTAACCAGAAGTTGAGAAGCTGAGCTCCATTACTTTAATTCAGGAGTCTTCAAACTTGGCCCTTTTAGGACTCGTGGACTTCAACTCCCAGAATTCCTGAGCCAGCATGGCTCAGCTTGGAAACCTCTCACTTTCCCCTCAGCTTGCCTGGCTGAGGAATTCTGGGAGTTGAAGTCCACGAGTCATAAAAGGGCCAAGTTTGAAGACCCCTGCTTTAATTAGTTGATTAGAACCTTCCTAGACTGACCAGACCTCAAATTGTTTTCACACTGAAGGAATTTTGTTGTCGGGCACGTGGAATTTGACTGTTTAATGTGAGTACTGGTTGGAAAGTGAATTTTTAATTACAATTTATTACCGTCCTGTTTTCAAATGGTATAACGGAATGTATTAGGAAGTTAGGCAGAGATGAATTCTAATGCCTCGGTCAACTTGCCTGGTCCAATAAAAGATGCCATTTCAGTAACTACTGATTGTTAACTGTTTTCCTTGAAGGGATTTACAGAGCCGCTAGCAAAGCACCTAGTACAGGGGTCTTCAAACGTGGCCACTTTAAGACTTGTGGACTCCAACTCCGAGAATTCCTCAGCCAGCGTGCCTGGTTGAGAAATTCTGGGAGTTGAAGTCCACAAGTCATAAAAGGGCCAAGTTTGAAGACTTCTGCTTTATAGCTTAGAATGATGTTTCTCAACTTTGGCAACTTTCAGAGATGTGGACTTGAACTCCCAGAATTCTGCTGACTGGGGAATTCTGGGAGTTGAAGTCCACACAAAGTTGCCACGGTTGGGAAACATGGACTTAGAAGGACATGGCTGCGTTTTTCAGATTTGGAGAAGGTCCATCATCTGCCCTGCATGCAAAAGGTTCAGATTTGGCTCCAGACATCTGCCGTTAAGAGGTTCTTGGATAGCAGAGGTGGAGAAAATCCATGCCCTTAGGAAGCCATCATTCATAAACAATGCTGGGTGACGAAGGCCCGTCGGTGTGGAAGGCACCTAACTGTGCAAAGATGGAGCATCATTAGAAACCAGGTGGAAATACGGAAGGTGGAAAAACCAGTGAATCCAGATCTTCAGAGGGAGATTTCAGCAGAAGAGCCCAAAGAAAGGATATATTTTTTGCTTCTCTTCATTGTACAGTACGTCAACTAGCTGGATCACATTTTTGTGCCGCAACCGCCGTAGGAGTTGTATTTCTCTGGAAGGGGAAAAAAAAGAAGAAGAAAATATATTGGTGAGGGGACAAGCCCAGCCTCAAAATACAGTAAAGTTCTTGCTCTAGGAATGAATTTGCTGTGTTGAATTGCTTACTGTACAGAGAAACACACATATAGGAAGTCCTTTTAGTGACTGTTCAAAGTTACTAAACGAATGGTTGTAAACAGAGGACTACCTGTATGTGTTTCTCTGTAGAATAAGAGTTGAAAAAAGTGACTTATGACCGGTCCTTGCACTTATGAATGTTGCAGCACCCCCATGGTCACGTGTTCAAAACTGCAGAGAGATCTGTACAAAACTGTACTCCAGAGAAACATATACGGGTATTCCTTGACTTGCAGCCGTTCATTTAGTGACCATTCAAAATTAAAATAGAACTGAAAAAAAGGGACTTATGACCGGTCCTTGCATTTTATGACTGTTTCAGCATCCTCAGGGCCAGGCTTTGCCTCCCAGGACGTGGAAAGCCGGGATCTCTTTCCAGGCAATTCCACCAGAATTAATGCCGCAGGACCGCTAATGCAAAGGACTGCAGCCAATTGCGTTTATATGAACACCATCATAATGATGATCCTTCAAACAATCTTACAGGTGGTCCTCAACGTACAACTGTTCATTTAGTGACCATTCGAAGTTACAAAAAATGACTTACGACCGTTTTTCACACTTACAACCACTGCAGCGCCCCCAGGGTCACGTGATCAAAATTCAGGTGCTTGGCAACCGGCATGTATCTATCAGAGCTGCAGCATCCTGGGGTCATGTGATGGCCATTTATAACCTTCCCAGTCAGCTTCTGACAAGGAAAGTCAGTGGGGGAAGCTGGAGTCTCCTAATGACCAGGTCATTCATTTAACAACTGCAGTAATTCACTTAAGTTAGTTTTGTTCCATATAGCATCAACCTTGTGAACTCTCAAGCTTCCTCTTTCCGCTATGTATTCAAAACCGACAGTGTTTAATATATATGTAATATATATGTATGTATGTATGCAATATGTATGTATGCATGTATGTATGTATGTGTGTGTGTGTGTGTGTGTATGTATGTATGTATGTATGTATGTATGTATGTATGTATGTATGTATATAGCATCCTTAATAAGGTGGGTAACTTGAAATGGCTGAGCAAATACAAACACATTTTTCAAGTAGACAGCTATTTGAAATTACAACTGCCAAAACATCTTAGGGAAATATTCACGCAAGTGAGATTTGAACAACTTGACACAATGGTCAGATACGGGAGATTCCACTCTATACCCTATAATGGACGTCGCTGCATCTGCGGAGCGGCAGAG